CTAGCAAGAGACATTGCTTGCCAGTGAACCTCAATGATTTGTAAATTTGAAGCAAAGGCTTAAAAATTTTAAACAAGATCTACAGGTATGAAATACAAGAATAGCCACATCTCACAACTATCTAATCAACAGCATTCAGACACTAGCAATACTCTACAACTACCCAAAGGGGCTTGTAGAGAGATGGGGGATGGTCACTTCTCCCATGCCTGCAGTGAGAGGACTAGAGGTCATTAGCTGAGACGAGGAAGATTCAGATTACATGTTGGGAAAAAAATTTCCCTGCTAGGGTGGTCAGGCACTGGAATAGATTGCCCAGGGATGTGGTCATCATCCCTGGGAGTGTTTAAGAGGTGTCTGGATCTGGTGCTGGAGGATCTGGTTTAGGGGTTACAGCAGAGTGGCAGGTTAATGGTTGGACTTCATGATATTAGATATCTCCTCCAACCTTGATGATTCAATGATTCAGATTTTGTTTTTTACTTTTATTTTGCTTACAAAAATCTGACCAAACACACACAATAAGATAATTTACCAAAAACAACGAAGGACAAATCTTTAGTCTAATTACATTAATGGGCAATAATCAAAGGGCGAGACCTAGACCAGGGACTTTCCTAGCAGAAGACTTCCCCTGTGGGATGGGCCTATGTATTGGGCCCTCTCTTCCCTTCAGAAGGAAATCACTTACAACAAGGACCCTTCTTTCTTCCTGCACTGAGGCAAGTGAATGCATGAGGGTGACTGCCTTGGTCTAGTCAACCCCCTGGATGGACCTTCACCTGCATCATCATTTGCCTGCTCCTCAGATTCCAGAGCCTCTTACCTAGTGCATAAGGGCAGCTGGGAAGGATAGGGAGTCCTGTTCCAGTAAGGAGAAACCTGTGGCAATAAGACAGGGAGGGACTGCCTGGCTAGGGAACAAATCTGCTTCCAGGGACCTGAGGGACCTTCAGAGACAGCAGGTGTCAGACGCCCTGGCACACCCTGAACATTGTGTCCAGTTTAGGGACTTCCAAAACCAGAAAGACAAGAACAAAGTGAAACAAGAGAGCTACAAACTGGATATAAGTAAAAGCCTCATGCAATGATTTGTATAAGTACAGTGACTTCCAATTATAAAGCATATTTTACTCAAGGTCCCATAAAATATTGTGTAAACTTTAATATAAACCATCATGCAGCAAGAGATAGAAGACTCAAAAGGAGAAAGGAGAGGAATCATTCTCCATGTGGAGTTAGGACATTCCCTTTGGAAAGGGCAATTCTGGATTCCTGTCTCTGCACTAACAGTTTGGATTCTGTATAATACAGGTAGAAAAGCACACATAAAAACTGGAGTCTTGCAGTTTTGCCCACCTGGTATCATCTTCTTTTAAATTACATTAAATCACCAGTTTGAAATGCCAAGAAAGCAATCTCTTGTAAAATGAGAATTCCTATTCAGAAAAGTCAGCCATACTGGGAGAGGGAAAGGGGGTAGAAAGGCTTCTGATTTCAGTGGCAGAAAAACCCATGGCATATTAGCTACTTTCCCATTTTTAAAAAGGCAATAACCTATGACTTCACATAAATTGTGTGGAAAAAATTGGGAAAAAATAATAACCTGATATCTTACAAACATAGCTCAGTTTTCTGGCAGAGCTTCAAAGCTAACTGGTTTATTTCAAATATCTTATCCCACCTATACTGGTACAAAGGAAAGAATGTCTCTATCAGCTTCTGTTACAAATTAATGCAGACCTCACCCAAAACTCTGTATAATTATCAAACGGATCACTTGATAATTACCATAAGCTCATTTGGCAAGCCTATAATGATCCTGGCTTTGTGATCACACTAGGGAACCTTGCTCTCTTATTTTATTAAAGAAGCTTCACACAGCCCTAGCACAGATCTCTGTTGGAAAAACAGAACTTGGCTAATTAATAGTTTAGTCCCACCATGAATTCAGCTTTCCTTACACAGCTCCAGCAGCAGAAAAGAAAGGTGAGGATGTCTTTGCTAAAAGCAGAAAATTCTATTAGCATGGATTTCCCTATGGCAGAGGTCATGTGTGGACAGGGATGCCAGAAGTGAAAGGGGATAGAGCTAGATCACACACTCATCAAATTAAT